TTTCCTTTTCGGTCCGTAAGCTATTTTTACATTTAGGGCCCACCTGGTCCCATGGGTATGCGCGGTCCTCCTGGAGAAGGTAGACCGGTAAGTCAAAAGACATTCCAAAACGTCTAAGAATTCATTATATAATCTTCAACCCTTGGTCTAAATTCTATGATAATTTTATTTTTTTTACAAGCAGACCAAGCAACAGCGCAAAGCATTGAGTCGAATTTAGAGATTTGATTTTCTTCATGGCGAGCTATTTTCGCCATTATCGTTGTGGTAAATTGCATGAGCACGGAGCACGTAATCATGTAGATTATCGTGATTTGTGGTAGATTGTGCCAAAAGGCCGCTTTGTTGTGAAAGTCATCTACATATAGATATCTTACTTTCAAATCATTCACAAATTTTTTCAGGGTAAGCAAGGACCAGTCGGACCGAAAGGAGATGTTGGACCTATGGTAAGTCATCAATATAAGTAGCTGATTCCAGTGGCGGCTGCGAAATATTTTTCGCGGTGCCGCAGCAAAAACTTCTTTTGAAATGATGAGATGGTCGTAGCCACAATATAGCCCTGATTTTTTTCAGAGGAGGCGTGGCGGCAGCCGCCCTGAAAAATATTTTTACACTGCTAATTTGAGATTTGGTGAACTCTTGGAAAATATTTCAATACTTTACAAGTGAAAGCAAGTCATTTGTCCAATATTAACAACATAGGATTTTGAAAAGTCAGCCCCCCCCCCCCTTAGGGGCAGCTCATTGCCATTTGTAGCCTTATTCCACCGTATCTTTCCCCAATCAGCGTCTTCGAGTACGGTAGAAATCTGAGCTGGATCAGATTTGAATTTCTTGGTCAAGAATGATTTGATAAGCGCTCGTTTGTGCAGCGACTTAGTCGAAAACTCCCAATCAGACCCTTATTAAGAAATCCCCCTACCCAGCTTGATTACACATCGCTTAAAAACCCCATTTTTTCCAATTTAGGGCCCTGCAGGAGCCCCAGGACATCCTGGCTTACCTGGTGAACGAGGTGCTGATGGAATTCCAGGTGCAAGAGGAGAGAAAGGAGATCAGGTATGTTCGTTACTGAGTTCCATTGTTTTCATCTTCCGAAAAAAGGATTGTAGGGAATCCCCGGTCTTGATGCTCCATGCCCCACAGGACCCGATGGTTTACCTCTACCGTATTGTTCCTGGAAACCTATGGATGTAAGTGAATTTTTATAAAGAAAATTCATGATAGGTAGGTTTTGATCCCATTGTGTTACCCCGTGACTAGAGTGGGATTCGTCTAAAGAGATTTTTTTTTTGAAAACTCCTGTGGAAGACTTTATCGAAATTTG